TATACACGGCATATGTACACTGGTTTGGGAAATGGGAATTGTATCCATGCAAATTTCATACAAAACACTATTTACAAAAAAAGAACAGGAAGAACATTTTTCAAAGGAAACGTTGGAAGCTCCAGCAGTAATGGAAATCCTGAAAAAAGGCTTAATACAGTATAGTACAAGTTGACAATCTCTTCAGAGGTGTGGAAGATGCACTTTACAAGAACATGAAATGCAAAACGAATTGAAATGCACTATCAAGAAATTTGCAAGTATATACACAGTTTGAGCTTCTATTGTGAAGTGATCACCTCCAGCTGTGCCTCAGAATTCCTGCCACACATTTACATATTGACCATTTGGTTACCTTGCATTTTCTGAGTTTAATAACCACGAGTTACAAACCAAAATGCCTGAATACCAATTGAATGCTAATTGTGAAGCAATTAAATCACATTTTCCTTGTTCTATACATGACACAATAGTCAAAAGCATTCACATTACTCCCAATGTATTCGACCAAACCTCCCTTTTGCAATACACCTGTGTATGCCCCTCCTGAGAGTCACAGCTTTGCATTACTGCTGGTGCCACAGCCATGGGCAGCTGCAGCCAGGAATTCCCACAGCTGCAGCAATGCGACACATCCATTCAGTAAAAACATGGATCAACATCTGCATGTGCAAAGCACAATCCTGCTCCAGAATGCCTATTAATACTGAACAATTCCTGGAAGTTCCCATGGCACCAAATCCTACACAAATATAGCCATTCTGGAAACATTTTGCTGGTTCACTCCAGTTAAAAATGAAACAAACAAAGTAACCTTGTTGCATTTCCAAAGATTCTCTGTTTTACAATCTGCCTTCATACAACCATTATGGGAAAAAAAGTTATGTTTGCCTTATTTCACACAATCTGGAATGAAGCTAGGAAATTCTCATTGGTGCCAAGAATTCACTTTAAGTGACTGACTTCAAGTTGTAGATGAGTTACAAAACTATTGCGGGAAATTCTGGTCTCACTGAAGTCTTAGAATTATAGATTTGTTTAGGCTGGAAAAGGCCTTTAAGTTGATCAAGTTCAACTGCAAACTTAACACTGCCAAATTGAAAAGTTTCCTAAAACAATTCAACTCTATGTCAGTAGGAGCTATCCTTCTTTAGAATTTTCTAAGATACTCATGGAAAAACTTGTGGGTTTAGGATTCTTGGATGTTATGTAAAAAAAACCACACCAAAAATTCTTCAGTGAAAATATAGTCAGCTATAAAATACTGGAAATAAAAATGAACTAATTTTGAACTAACTTTGAACTAAAAAATACATAAATATGTCGTTTTATAATAACCTGTATTCCTTCCATGGAAATTAATCAATGGATTAATGGACACAGCAATTTTGCCTCCCTTTGCCTCTCATGTTAAAACACAAGGTCAAAACCAATGAGTCAAAACCAAATCAGTGCTATAAAATTCCTCTTAAAAAAATTCACCTTTCCCTCTTGTTTGTAAATGAATTACATCTGTCCTACAGTGGATAGAACAGTGACAGCAACACTGTTTTAATTCCCTCACATGAGAGCACAAGTGCCACACTAACCTGTTCTGAGTCATGGTGCAACTTTCAATCAGAGAAGTTCCACAGTTCCTAGAGCAAAAGCTTCCTCTGCCTCACGACATTGTTCTTTGCTGACAGAAGTTAAATATGGGTAAACATACTCTTATCTACTGTTCTCAAAGTTATCACTTTCCTTGGTATTTCTATGCAGATGACAGCATCTCTTTAAAGACTGCTGCAGCAGGAGGCAGCAGCATGGAGCAAGGAGGTGTTTCCCTCAGCAGCTGCCCCACCAGGTCTCACTGGTGAGAGGGGAGCACAAACAGCACCTGAAGGTGCCCAGCCCAGGGCTGGGAAGAGGCCACACCCTCTGCACCATCATAGTTTCATAGTATGTTAAGGGACTGGAATGGACCTTAGAGATCATCTAGTCCCAACCCTCTCCCTGGGCAGGGACACCTCCCACCAGACCAGGTTGCTCAAGGCTTTATCCAACCTGGCTGTGAACACTGCCAGGGTTGGGGCAGCCACAGCCTCCCTGGGCAACCTGTGCCAGTGCCTTACTACCACGCTTGTGCAGCACAGGGATAGAGCCATCCAAACTGAACAGTCTTTGGGAATACAAAGATGACAAATTCCTTGTTATTTTAAGCTCTGCTGAAAGCTCCAGATACTGAAGGATCCTCCTCCCTCAGCACGCTACAAAACATCTTTCTTTCTCTACTAAGACTAAAGGCTTTTCATGGTGAAGTGATTCAACATGAAATCAACTCAGAGCACCTTCTCCATGGACAACTGTATTTTGCCTTTCCCATTCCTGGTCTTAATGACTTTTTAAAAATCCAATCTAATTTAATTCAATTTAAAGTGTTTGGGGTGGTGCTTTGCTTCTTTGTTTTTGCTTTTCAAGTAGAGATCCTCTTGAAAGAAACATAGACGTTAGCCTTAGTGAGTAGGCAAATTCTTGTATGGAGAAGAACAGCAACTATTCCCACAGGTTGCTTGGAAATTAAAACTGAAAATTCAAAACTTTAGCATAATTTTTGCAGTTGCTCCTGTAGAAGTCACAACAGTAACAGCCAATTTTAGTAAGGCTTTAGGTTGTTATTATTATTAGTATTATTTGTAAAAACAGTTAAAGATGAGAAAAGAGGCATCCAGGCACAGGGGATCTCTTCTCACATTGTTCCTAAGGATACCTGAAGGCTTTAATCTTTGCAATGCTAAAAAGGAAGCCCTGGAAAAATCATGATTCTCCTTCCCCATAAGCAAGAAGGACACAACTTGCAAGGAATGACAAAGCAAGAGTGGTTCTAGCAAGTTTGTGGGGAAGAGGAGTAAAATAAAGGAGTAAAAATAAAGTTATTTTAGAAGTAGTTTTCAGAAATACAGTTTAGACTGAGTACATAAGTGTCATATCCAGTTTGCAAGTTACTACAAAGAGCTTTGAAAAACCCCAACTGGTCAGCAGCTGCATCAAGGGAATTCCTAATGTTTACACTGTGATGTAACTTTAGAAAATGAGTTCAAGTACGAAAAAAGTTAAGATCAGCAAACTTATTTAAGTATGACAGTGAAATAGTAGTTCAGTTTAAGACAGAACTTATAGTTAACACTTCTATGGCTAACACTGAACTGGAACTTTGCTCTGGTATTAACAACAATGAAATGAAAGACAAGGACCATTTCCAAATGGTTGTGCTCTTCAAATGGAGTACACAAGCATTTTGCTTAGTGAATAAATTTTTCATTGCCGTTTTTTGCATGACTTTTCAGACATTTTAATGAAAAACAGAGACGGAAGTTGTTAAAATGAGTACTAAAAACCAATTACAGAGATGTGAAATATCATATTTCAAAGGGCAAAGCAATCCAGTTTCCTTAAACACTTTTATCTAATCTAAGATTTACAGCTAGGACTTTGCAAATGGAGCTATACACCAGCTCTCCATGAGCTTATTTTAAGCAAACACTATATAAATAGTGGTTTTTAACTATTACACATGCACCAGCTTGTTTAGATGGATTTAAAAGTAAGTTGTTAAACTTGTCATCAGAAAAAGGTTATTTTTCCTGTCAGCTACTGACTTTAAGGACTACAATAGATGGAGTACACAATACTCCTCCCCTGTTCTATTATGAATTATATCACATGGGGCCTTGAGCAATTGGAAAGAACAGAACCAAATCTTGTTACCTGCTTGGCAAACATACTCCTCAATTGAAAACAACAGCGTGAAAATCTGTGACACTCTAGGCATTTTCTCAATTGAGCTAACTATTCATGGAGAACAAACTAACATACACAGGTTTACTCCTAAAATAATGAAATTCTTTGCTATTTTTTGGAGAACTCAACTGTGTGTGGTTTCAGAAGGGTCTCAAAACACCAAGAATTTGTGCAGAATCAAACAAATACAACAACTCAGAAGTTTCCAAAATCCACCACAGTGGAAATGTGTAATTTTCACATTTCTCCAGCAAAAATCTATGTCTCAGCACAGTGACATCTGTACAAACTGACCTGTGTGCTGACACACTTAGGTAAATTACACAATAAATCCCATAAACACTAAAAAGAGAAACACTGGTACTTCCCAACTGAATGATGGATACACCTGTTGTAAAAATGTCATGTGAGATCAGGAAAAATAGTACACAAAATCCTGAAAGTCACAGCATAAACCTGAGATTTTGGCAGTTTTATCAAAACGTCCTAAATTACTCTGTATGAATCACTAGTCCTCATGTCGTATTCATCTTGTGTAGTTGTTTGTCCCAAACAAAGAAAAGCAAACTTTTTTTTATGTCCAACAATACATTAAACCAATAGGAATTAGGTATTATCAAATTAAATATCATAAATAAAAAGTATTTACAGTATTTTCTAATTCTTAGACAACAAAATAACCAATTAAATTGTGCAACAAAAAACACCCAACATCAAAAAGGTGAAGTATTACTTAAATCTTCACATACTGATTTTACAAAAAAACTATTAAAATATTAAAAAATTTTCATTTTATCTGTTTTAAACAAAGAAATTTCAAAAATGTTTAAGACTATTAAGAGTTATCAATTCCACAGGCACTTCACATGTAAACAATCTACAGTACAACTGAAAATAAAATATTTGGCACCAACCTAGACTGGAAAAACTCAATAAGATGTGGCCTCTTCCCACTGTGTGCTGTTCTGTGTAATCACCACACACTCAGACTCAATACTGGCAATGTTTGAAGTGCCTAAGTTACAATCAGGAGTGCAAAAAGTAAAGAATGCAAATATTAAGCTTTCAGAGAGTGAAAGGGGATTACAAGTGATCAGTTGCTCACATTTACCATCATCCCATCGTTACAGTTTTGTCTTAGCTTCAAATCAAATGCTTGACTCCAAAGATTAAAGTGACAGTGGCTGTGCTTTGTACTGCTAAAATCATTCAAACCACATTGCCAATGTAAAAAAAGCAATCCAGCATGTAACTGTAACACTGAGATGTGAAATGGCAGCTTGTAACTTAAATAGGAAGAGAACCTGATGCTACCACGATCTCTTTGTACATCCAATTACAAAAGAAAAAGGAATAATTATGTTCTTTTAGCTGTGAACTGACTTCAAGGTTTTCATCACAACTCCAAAGTAAGGCTCTCTACAGCATCTGGACAGAGAATTTTTGATGGCTTGGATGTTCCCATGGAGGAGGCTGAGTTGCCTCAGAGCAATCCATATCAACAAAGCAAATGGGAAGTTGTCTTAGCTTCCAAGGAGTCACATCACATGGAAGAAAGCTGAGATACTTTCAATGCAGGCAATTCAAGCAGAGCTTGAACTGTGAGGCCAACCTTCACCAGACCCCTCTCCTCCAGAATGTGATGAGGCAAGCAAAGTCTCTCCTGCAAAACAGTACATGGAACAAGTTACATCCAGTTGTCCCCAAGGTGGGTGACACATTCTCTCTGAAGTCACACACATATTGCTAAGACTTCTGCACAGGAAAGTCTCTTTCGCCTTAAATTTCACATGTGGTTTTCCACAGCAACAGAAAGGGCAGGAACTTGTGGTGAAGATCTGTTTAAAGTGTTAAACACTGACAACATCAGAAGATACCAAAAGATTATTAATTTCATAAAGTCAAAGACTTTCTTTTCATAAGCAGTGCAAGAAAAACAAGCTGATGGATGCTGTTGGCTCAGTGGCCTTCTTCCTCCTTTCCTTGTTTTGTAGACTTATTACCAATTTTTCCCTTGGGAATTGCTGACAGACTCAATAATGAGCCATTCCCCAAGAAAGTCATCTTTCAGTTTCAAAATTCAGCACAAGCTGGACAATTTGCCCAACTGCCAGCTGACATCACATGGAATTCAGTAGGCAAATCTTGGTATCTCTAATTTCTGAATGGCCTGTGGCTCCATACTACACAGAAGCTGCGGCAGAGCAGCAATCCAGGCTTCTAAATCCATTAATTAATTTTCTTGTGGCACTAAAAAGGATCAAGGGAGATTTTGTCTCATAATATGCAGGAAATGAACAAATTTTTAGGGGTTTTCCCCTTATACAAAGAGGTGAGCGGGTGAACTTGGGCAACAGAAGCACACAAATAATGGGCTGCAACTCTGGCTGTGCTACAGAAGACAGCAAATCAGATAGGCTACATACTTCTGCAAATGTAGGGTATTTCCTAGGCAGACACTGAATTCATGCCAAACTGAGTTGCTAAATTCAAGACTTTCAAATATTAAAACATCACTCCCATCAGTTCTTTTGTTTAGACAAAAATTTATTTTACAAGGAGCTCAGTATTATTTTTACTGTAAAGAACTGACTAGAAACCCATAAAGTACCTCAAGTTCCATAGGCCAAAAATGGAATTTCTGTTCACATCTTCAAGTTCCCTGGTCAGTGTTATAATCACTATTGCTCCCCAAATAGAGCACCCCCAAACCCTCCAACTTCAGTATGTGCTGAGATTTTCTGTGGCTAAGTCAATAAAGCAATTAGTGTACCTGTGGAACACCCAGTTTTTTACAAGCATCCAGGAAGTTTTCAACATTTCTTCGGCACTTTGCCATACTGAGTTTAGGCTGCAAAGACAAAGTTAGATCTTCATCAGATGTTTGTGAAGGACTAAATATTTCTAATGTAAATTCACCTACAGTTGTTAAAACACAAACCACATTCTATGAAGACTCAGTATGTAAAAATAGCTCTTCAGCTAAACTTCTGAGCCTTGTTTAATGCTTCTTCCAGAAAAGGTGAAGTGACAAATGAAGCAAATCTGTATGGTAAACATCATTCATGATGTTCATAGTTTCATAGTACATTAACGGGTTGGAATGGACCTCAGAGATCATCTAGTCCCAACTCCCTGCCCTGGGCAGGGACACCTCCCAACAGACCAAGTTGCTCAAGGCCCCATCCA